AAAAGGAATAAAATAAATATCAGAGGATGTGCAGCATCTTGGCCCAACAGACACAGAAGCTGGGGCAGGATGGCTGCCTTTCTCCAGTCGTGCCGCTTTAATCTCTCCTCACCACTTTTTTTCATGCACGGCTGAAAACTGGGAATCCCAGAGGAAACGCCAGCCATGCCCGCCTGCTTTACAAACTCAGCAGAGCACACCAAATGGAAAACCTTCCAGCCCTGAAAGAAAGAAAACGGGGCCGTATCACATATTGTCCTTTTGGGGAGGCACGCATTCCAGGCCTAAGAACTCTTCTGAGGAGACTCATTTATCTGGAGCATACCTCCAGGGCTATTTTCGGGCAGGAACGCACAGGAACGGAGTTCTGGCTGGCTTCAGAGTAGGCCACGCCCACTACATCCAAAACCTCTACATGCGTGGCTACAGAGGGAAGGCCTGGAGAGCGACCCCCCCCAGCGACTCCGAGGCGGGCGGGCCAGGGGAGCCCTGGAAGGATCGGGGAGGCATTTAAATGCCTCCCTGTGCCTTCCCCAGCCTGTCCAAGGGTCGGCTTGCCCAGGCGCCCCGTGGGCAAGCCAAGGGAAGGCAGTTTAAACTACCTCCTCACTCCTCCAACAGGCCAGCTTGCCTGGGCTCCCCACAGCTGCGGAGCACCCAGGCAAGCTAGGGGAAGACCGTCTAAACTGCCTCCCCTCCCCTCCAAGGGCCGGCTTGCCTGGGCAAGCCAAGGGAAGGCATGGGGGTTTGGCCTAATAAGCTAATAAGCTGTGCTGTCAGGGGTTGCGGCCTAATATGCTAATGAGTTTCTGCTGTTGGGTGTGGCCTATTATGCTAATGAGTTCATGCTGGGCTTTTTTTAAAAAAAAGAGTCCGGCATACCTCTATCCGTTCTGATGCAAAAAGGGCAATTCCGATGTAAAGATTATGTTTGAGACAGGCATTTTTGTAATATTTGTTTTAAAAAATGTGAATATATCTGTTAAATACTGGGTTCTAGATGCATGGCTGTGATCAGCTCAGGTTTATTCAGTGATTTCAGCAAACCACATGACAAGACTCCAGAGCCTCAGCTCTGTTAAATAGCCTGCAATCGCCACACCCAAACACACCCCACTCCCAGTGATAGGCTGTTTACATAACATTACTACTAGATTGGTTACTTTCAGAATCCTGGTCGGCTATTGTTCTTGTGCTCCAAGCTCAGCCAGCCTCTGGGGTGATTCAATCATGGGTGATTCAATCCCAATACATAACAATATCACAGCAGCCCGTGCTTCTCTTTCTCTCTCAGTTGCTCCTCAACTTGTATTTCATAGCTCTTCTTTTACTTTCTCTCCCTCCCTCCATGGCATTCCATAACAGACACCGCTAACCCTTGGCTCCCAACAGAAAAGTCATAGTCCAAAGAGGGCTCTTCAGGAATAGGGTTGCCAGGTCTTACCTGGCTGCTGGTGTGTGTGGGGGGGGTGTCATTTTTTTAAACTTAAAATAAAAACATGCTTGAAACCCCTGTAGAGCAGGGGTGTTGAACTTATTTGTTATGAGGGCCAGATCTGACATAAATGAGACCTTGTTGGGCCGGGCCATGTGTGTCATAAAATGTATTGCCAGGTAGCAGAGATATAAGCTTTATAAAAGACACAAACACAAAGGGGTTTTTTTAACTTAAAACATGCTTAAACATTAGCACTCTTGCAATATTTTGTTTATTTAACAGTGTCTGATAACTGACACTTCTTGCTCTGAATTATTGCATCAAAATGTCTGTGCTGTAGCAATTGGGGAAGGGGAGGAGCCTCAGCCCAGTGCAGTGAGATAGGTGGACTATAAAAATGTAAATAAATATATTAGGGCCATCAGGATCTCTGGGCTGCACTGTAAGTCTGTGGCCATGGAGCTGATCCGTGATTTGATGGTGGCTTCGGGGTTTCTAAGTAAAACAAATTCTGTCCGGATCTGAAGAAGTGTGCTTGCACATGAAAGCGTATACCGTGAATTAAACTTTGTTGGTCTTAAAAGGTGCCACTGGACTCAAACTTTGTTCCATCAGGATCCGTGAGACTCCCCTCCACCCCAGTCTGAGACTGACAACAGTAGAGGCTGGTAAAACGCAGGCAATGGAGATGGATCTCTATCATACCTCATTCAAGCAGACTTGCGCAGCCCAAATATTTATTGTGCAGCATCAAGAAGGCGTTCTGGATGCGAGTCAAATGCTCACATGAACGGGGTCCTTTTTGCATCCTCAGTCGGAGGATCCAGGTCAGTATTAGGGTTTTTGAGTATGCCCTCTGCACCTCTGCCACCTGCAGGGGTTCTGGTAGTGTCTCTCAGGCTCTGCTTGGCCTCGGTGTGTGTGGGGTAAGAGGAGGCAGCACTGGATTCCAGGGGAACCTTCTTGTTATTGAACTAACTGTTTCTTCCTAAAGGAACCGAAAACAGTTAACACCAATAGGGAAAAAAACCACAATATGAAAAAATAACCATTAAAAATATTAAGCTTGCCAGGGAGTCCCAGGGATGCTGTCAGCCCATGCCTTCAACCAGGATAACCTCCGGGTCAAGTCTGAGTCAAGTCTGGAGTACAGCTAGACTTACAACCTCCAGGTGGAAGATGTCCCCAAACTGCAATTGATCTCTAGGCTGCAGAGATCAGTTCTTCCAGGGAAAATGACTGCTTTGGAGGAATGGACTTGCATATTCATATCGTGCCTTTTTCTATTGTTGCAAACCGCTTTCGGTCCCTTTGAGTAGAAAAAAAGATACAGCTTAATAACAATCTTTTTCTTTCACCATCTTGGGAAGTCCATGCTTTTAGTTGTCGGTATGTCATAGGTATTTTAAATCTGATTTAACTTGTATTACTTATTGGGTGCTGCAGTGGCTCAGAGGTCAAGAAGACGCTGAGCTTCAAGACCAGGAAGTCTATAGTTCGGCAGTTCAAGACCTGAGTGCCGCATGATGAAGTGAGCTCCTGTCTCTGGCACCGGCTCCTGCCAACCTAGCAGTTCAAAAGCAAGAAACTGCAAGTAGACAAATAGCTACCGCTTTAGTGGGAAGGTAACAGCATTCTGTGTGCCTCAGCGTTTAGTCATGGCCACAGAGATGTCTTTGGACAGCACTGGCTCTTCGGCTTGGAAACGACGAGCACCACATCCCTAGACTCAGATTCGACTGCCTTTCAAGCAAGGGAAACCTTTACCTTTACTGCCATTCACAGGTCTTACCAACAGCTTTGATCCAATCTCAGAAGGCTTTCACGGCCGGAGTTCATTAGCTGCTGTACATTTTCTGGGATGTGTGGCCGTGGTCTTGACATTGTAGGACCTGACGTTTCACCAGTAGCTGTGACTGGCATTCTCAGAGGTATAGCACAGAAAGATGGAGCACGCTCTGTGTCAAGGTGAGAAGAGAAATGGTAGGCAGGTAATTTATATCTACTCAGGAAGGTGGGGTAGGTCATTATCTTGTAGGAGTTCCCCAGGCTATGAAGATGCTAATGGAGCTTTCCTGAGGAGGTTCTTTTGCATGTGGATTGGCTGTTAAAATTCTAATCTTATCTGTGGTGCTATGGTAAGATGTAGAGCACTTTGTGTTTTTTTCAGGATGCGAAAACCACGTCCTACTTATTTTTACACTCTCCTCTTTCCCGCTGAAATTGTGTTTATGTTTATGAAATCTCAATGGCGGCTTCCCTGTGTCATCTGACAGGGTAATCCACCGTTGCCCTTTACCTTTAGTATTTATTTGCCTTTGTTCTGTTGTAAGCCGCCCTAAGGCCTGCTTGCAAGAAATCCATTGTAATGAATAAATAAAAGTTTAAAGAGAGGGTCGCATTTGTTTTAAGCTGCACCCTGTGTATGGGTGAGACTAGCGACCTCCCTCCACAAAAGAAGAAGCGATTGGATTTATACCCCGCCCTTCACTACCCAAGGGAGTCTCAGAGCTGCTTACAGACTCCTTCCCCTTCCCCTCCCCACAACAGACGCCCTGTGAGGTAGGCGGGGCTGAGAGAGCGCTGACAGAAACTGCTCTTTTTTCAAGGACAGCTCTGACAGAACTATGGCTTGCTCAAGGTCATCCAGCAGCTGCGGAGTGGGGAGTCAAACCCGGCTCTCCCAGATTAGAGTCCGCACACTTAACCACACACCAAACTGGCTTAACCACTACACCAAAAAGGCCAGCAGCGGCCAGGAACCTCGAGGCTAGCTTTCCTCTTCGGGCCGCGGCCGTCCCATCACCCGCCCCGCAGCAGCAGCCCTGTCTCAAGCGCCGCCCCCTCCTCCTCCCACTCAAAACCGGCTTAGACTAGGCCGCGCTCCCGTCGCTATGGCAACGGCAAGCCCTCTCCGCCGGCCCGTGAGGTGGGGGGAGAGAGAGATCGGTCACGTGCCCCGGAAGCGCCTCCTCCCGGCGCCCCGCCCCGGAAGTGGCGGAGCAAGGAGAGGGAGGGAGGGGAGTTCCCCCGGCCGGAGAAATTAAATCCGCGGCGGCAGGACGGGGAGGCGGGGCTGGCGGGTTCGCGTGCGGGCGGCGGAAGGCGGCCCGGCGAGGGGCGTGTGGCGGCGCTTCCCCCCCCCCCCCGGCCCTGCCTTTTCGGCCCCCCCCCCCGGGGGG